GCTGGTGCGCAGGGGCGGGCGTCCGCGCTCTAGCCCAGCGGTCTGTTTCCGCCGTTGGGGGAGATGCTGCGTTGCGGCGCGCCGGTTAGCGCAGCTCCTCCGGAGGCCGACATGGCTGACGAAAAAGAGGAGCTGGTGGTGACCTCGCGGGGTAGCGCGTCCTCTGTGAAGCTGGCCGAGGAGGAGGAGGAAGAACCCATGAAGGTGGAGGTGGCGGTGGGCGACGATGGCTACTCTGAGGAGCTCCGCGCGGAGGTGGGCATAGACCCAAACCTCCTCGGCCTTGCGGATGACGAGGAGAAGTGCCGGACGATCCGCAGGCAGTACCGGCAGCTCATCTACAGTGTCCAGCAGAACCGCGACGACATAGTGAACACGGCGAGCGACACCTTGACCGAAGCCCTTGAGGAAGCCAATGTCCTGTTTGACGGCGTGAGCCGGACGAGAGAAGCGGCCCTCGATGCCCAGTTCCTTGTTCTGGCTTCGGATTTGGGTAAAGAAAAAGCAAAGCAGCTAAACTGTAATAGTAGCTTCTTTAATCAAGTAGCTTTTTGTGACTTTCTGTTTTTATTTGTGGGTCTGAACTGTATGGAAGATGCCGAACATGATGAGTTGAGCGATGACAGTACAGCACTTTCCTTCTGGGAGACGCTGCAGAAAGAAGCCACCTCCTGGATTTTGCAAGCCGAAACGTTCCATTTTATTTTTGGCTCATTCAAGAGCCAGCGTTCTGCACGGAAGTCCCGGCTTGAACACCAGAGGAGAGTTCGCAGAATGGAAGAAAGTAGGGATATGCCTACAAAACTCAGGAAGTTGGAGGTGAACAGTAATCAAGAAGCAACAGAAAAAGAAGTAGAAAGAATCTTGGGATTGCTGCAAATGTACTTTCAAAAGTACCCTGATACGCCTGTGTCTTACTTTGAGTTTGTGATTGATCCAAAGTCTTTTTCTCGTACTGTGGAAAATATATTTTATGTTTCTTTCATCATAAGGGATGGTTTTGCGAGAATAAGGCTTGACCAAGACAGGCTGCCGATACTAGAGCCAACTCATACCAACCAAGTGGGGGAAGGAAGTGACCTCGGCTACCACGGCAGGAAACAAGGAGTTATATCTTTAAGCTTACAGGACTGGAAAAATATTGTGGCAACTTTTGAAATTTCAGAGCCTATGATCACAAACTCATGCTAAAGATTTGTTTTTCGTATAGGATGCATTTCTGTGGCTTTTCTCAAGGAACTCAAAATGAAAAGTAAAATCCCCAAAGAAGTGTCTACTGTATTCTTGTAAAGTGAAAAAATATTTTCCAGTACTTCAGAAATTGTGCAGTGTATTTCTTGCTGGTTTATAAAGTTGTCATGGTCTCCTGATACTAAAAAAAACTCACCAGAATGATGTTAGGATTTTTTTTTTTTTTTTTTTACTGCTCTTCAATACTATGCGAATAAAAATCAGTTTTGAGTTTCACAAGTTAAAAGGTGTTTGATAATTTTCAAAACAAATGCTCTGTTGCATTGCTTCCTCTCACAGGAAACCAAGGGGATGCCATAGAAGACTCCTAAACACACTGGGGGGGGAGAATGGGCCAAGAAACAGGTTACCCTTAAGGTAGTGAATATGCAGTGTCATTACAAACAAAACCTGTTGCCATGCTTCGTAGCAAAGAGAACTGGTAAGATGAGTGGGTGTCCATGTTCTAAGCAACTCCTGTGGACTCCAAGGCAGAGAGTATCTCTTAGGTAGTCAGTGAGGCAGCAACTAAGTGCTGCAAGGTGAGTAGCCCCTGGCCACAGACGGGAATGGCATTTAATAGGGCAGGGTGAGGCCGAATACCTGAACTAGTGAGAAGTTAATGGCACTGAAGAACATTTACTGGGAAACTGTCCTACTTGAATGTTAAACCTGGCAAGACTTGAATTACCTTGTATTTAGCTGTAGAAGATATTTCCGTTCAGGTTATTTCAGAACAAAATTATCTCGTTACTACCTGGATTCACTTGGTTAATATCTTCTCTGGCCTCTGGTTCTCCTTGGTGAGTTTTGCTAGTACAGAGTGTCCTTTAGAACCAGTGATGCTCATTATGTAACAGCCTCAGGTATTGTCAGTTTAATCTTGCATTTCTTAGGCTTTTTATGAGTGCCTGGAAACTCCCTTTTAACTAACACATGATTTATCCAAATATTCATACTCACTAAGTAGAAAGCCAAGTAGCTTTTATTCTTTTTTGTTGTTGGTAGTTTTAGGAATATAAATTACAACTATTTGGAGGTTACTTTTGACAGTGTGGATCATTAATAGTTTTTGAGGGTGAAGTGAGCTGCCTCACTTAATTCCCCTCGGAACTCTAGAGCATTAGCTGACGGATGGATCTGTTCTGCGTGGCAATAAACTATCCTAGTAAAGCTAGTATGGTACAGGGAAGGGAGCCCAAATACTAAATAAATGACATCGATATTGAAAGATCTAACATTTATGGGGAAAGTTCTTTAACAGATTTTTCACAGAAAAGTTAACTTTCTCTTGAAACTTGACCAATTCCTGTCTAAAGCGGTCACTCCTTTCCCTTAAAGGTCAAGGATGCTCACCTTTACTGACACGTCTATGCTTTGACTTAGTGTCATAGAAATATTTATCGGTATTGCTGATCCTCTCTACCGTCCAAGTCTCTTGGGTTTTCTAGAGACTGGCTTTTTGAGGAGACAGTTGTAAAGAATTATCTAGCAGTTTTGTTTTTTTTTTTTAATTTTATTTATGCATACAAGAACTGGGGTGTAGACCAGAGGTGGGGGGGTGGGTGTGTGGCGTATGGGGGTGTGTGAGAGAGGATTTACTGGAGACAGAGTGAGGAGCAGAATAAGCAGATCTGCTGGAATCCACTGCTGGGGGCAGCAGCTGGCAAGACAGGAGAGGTCTGCTGCACCATGTGGGTCACCTCCCTGGCTGGGATGGAACTCCCGCTGCAGTGGCTGGCAATAGCTCAATAGTGCTGAGACTTAAACCTCCGCCTCACCAGGTATACCCTGAGGTGACACTCTTAATGATAACAGAAAGAACACCAGATTGCTCTGGCATATGACTGGTGTCCTTAGTCAGCAGCATTTAAAACATAAATGTGTTAACAGCATTAATGGAGAATGTGGAGGCTTGAGAGGAGGTAATGTTTTAGTGATAGCTGTTAAATCAGGAGACCTCTTAAGTGTTGTACCTGTTTATGCTGGTCATGACACCTGGGTCCCCTCATCACTTTGAAAGTAAATAAAGCAGCTGCTGACCTCGAAGAATAAAGAATAGCTGACCATAATAAATATTTTGGTTTCAGGGACTAGGCATGAATCAAACTGCAGATCTGTTTCCCACTAATGTAACAATGACTGAAATTTTACAAGTTCAATAAAATCAGCTGAACTTTAGGAGACGTAAAGAAATTTATTCAAACTAGAATTTGTTTACATAATAGAACCACTTTTGATCAAAGGATCAGGTTTAGACCTGACTCACATTGTAGTTTGAGATATTTGAATAAATTTCTGAACCTGCAAGCCTCTGGTTTTTGATTTGCAAGGTGGCAATACTACCTCTTAAATTTACAATAAAGATAAATTTCAAAGATACATGGGACAAGTACTTTGAGAAATGAATTACCAAGTATGGTTTGGTAAGAAAAAGCAAGAGATTTGTAATCATTCAGGCCTGGATTCAGTTTTAGACTCAATGGGCGAGTCTGTTAACCTCCAAGGAGCTTTACGATGTCCTTTATGGGGTGAAATGATAACTGCTTAGAAGACTGTTATGGGGATTAAATACGTGATAACATAAAACATCTAAAACAGACTGGCTTTTGTGGCTTGGCAGATACCTGTTGGTGCGTTACTCTAGATCGGATCAGGAAGTCCATGCTGTCACCTTCCATGGTGACATCTGTGTCAGGGCTCATTCACTTTACGTGAAATGACTCACTCATGCTTGTTCTTGCTCTGGGGAATCCACTGAGTAGGCACTCAGCAGCTGTTCTCAGTGCCCACTGCTGCAGGCACTTGAGAGGCCACTGCTCTAGGCACCTGGGAAGAGGAGTGGTCACACACTGCCCACTGCTTGTGGACATACTATCTTTCAGTTCTGGAGGTTGGAAGTCCAAAATTGGTTGCTCTGGCCAAAATCAAGGGTTCCACAGAACTGACTCTTGCTGAGTATGAGAGAGAATCTGTTTTCTTGCCTTAGTCAGCTTGTGTAGGCCACCTGCATTCCTTGATTCACAGTCCCCTCCTCCATTTTCAGAGCTTGACAGTGTAACCTCTCTGTCACCACCTTGTCTTTTTTTGCTTCCTCTTGTAAGGATGCTGTGAGCACATCAGACACTGGGATAGTTCTGGAAAGCTTTCCCATCCCTAATCCTTAAATTACATATCCCTTTTATGTAAGAATTAATTTTCACTTTCTAGGGATTTGGATTTCCACATGGGAGCATTGTTTTCAAACCACAGGAGAGCAGACAGCAATATTCCTTTTGCTAATGAGTGCCTTGAAGAACCACTGGTTGGATAGTGGTTGAGGTGGTACTTTGAGAGCCCTAAGGAAACATTTCTGGGAGAGGCAACTTGAATGCAATCTGCCTGAACACTACTTGGTATGAGTAAATGCTAAATATTTTGGTTTAAATATTTTACGTACTCAGTTGTTGAAGATCTAGATAATCACGGTTGGCCCTGAGCAGGAAGATGACTGATTTGCACCCACCTTGATGTTACTGTTTGGTGTCCTCCGCCTCGCACCACCTAGCCACAATGACTCAATTTTCCTAGGAATTGGCAAATTTTTTTCTGCAGAAAGCCAGATAGTAAATATTTTAAGTATTGGGCCATATGGCTAGTCATCAACTGTTCATTGTTTCAAAAACAATAGGAACAGACAATGTTGAGATAAATGAGCCTGACTGTAACTCTGGATACTGAAACTTGAATTTCATATTAATTTTTAGATATCAAGTATTACTCTTGATGTCTTTCCCCTCACACCCCCAGTCACCACCCCCCATTTAAAAACCTAAGTATCCTTAGCTTAGGGATAGTAAAAATACCAAAAACTAGATCCGCTGGACACTTCGCATAGGCTGTATTGCTAACTCATGTCAGAGGCTTTTTATTTTCTTATGGATGAGAAAAGTGAAGCCCAGCCTCTTGGAATACACAACGGAGTTGGAACTGCCTGCCACCATGTCTTATTTGAAAAGATATCTTTGATCACATACATGCCAGGTTAGCATTGGGGATACAGAGATGAAAGGCGGGGTCCTGGTCACTGCAGAGGGCTCGCTCAGGCGCTTGTCCACTGAAGACTTGCAGCTAAATGAGGACATGAAGGGGCTTCATGGGTGGAACAGCTTGTGCTGTGTGCTTACAAAATGTATTAGTGAAATTGCAGCAAAGAAAAGGAGAAGGCTTGGGAACTCTGGGAAGACAGTGGAAGAAAAGACGTAAGTTCTGGTCCTTGCATGTTGCTTAAAAAAGCCCCCTAACTCTTATAAAGGACTGCTCTAGAAAGGGTGATGTGTTTGCGTCCATAAAGGTAACTAAGGCCAGTCTGTCTTTCCTCAGTAATTAAAAATACTTTAAAATTTTATGTTTGGGCCCTCCCTGCTGGTGCAGTGGAGTGCAGTATTGTGAGGCTGGCTGTGGCCCCTTCAGTGCGAGTTCGATCCCTGCTCTGGAGCTGACCCCCACATGGCGGGCAGACCTCTGGTCTTGCTTGCTGCTTCCCTCAGCAGTGTACTTCATCATTCTGCCTGTTCTGCTCCCCACTAAGTCACTGGTGAATCCTTTCAAGGCCCTTGCACCTCTGTCCTATTCACCCAGTTCTGTATGCATAAATAAAATCTTAAATAAAATTTTATGTTTAACAGTATTTAAAATACTTAAATTTAAAATTTTGATAATATGATTTTACTTTCTAACACTAAGAGTTAGTAGTGTGTTACTTTCTAACACACTAAAAATTAATTTGGGTTTCTTTCTAACCCACATCAACAACTTAATACTAGTTAAGGTTGAGGTGAGATTTTGGGACCCCTCTCCTTGGTCCACCACCACAATCAGCAGCTCCTGTTTCTAGAAGTTGTAATTGGAGGACACTGGGGGGCTATTTTCATCTGTGTTTTTACTCCTGACACTGGGGGGGGGGGGGGCTGCCTTTTGCTGTGTACCTTATTTATATTCCAGGCAGGAAACTGCTTACCTGGAGCTTAATAACAGCAATTTCAGTTTAAAATTGGTTTAACATTTAAAAACATTTAGTTCAGAGCCAGCTGAATGCTTCAGTTGCTTGTTTCTTGCTGACTTTACCTTCCAGAGTTAGAAGTAGGTAGGCTCACTCCGAATCTTCTCTGTCATGTGCACTCATTGATCTAATTGGACTTAGCACTTGAATCACAACTAACCAGGTGGGTGGAGAATTTCTGCACAGAATAGTTTATAAGGGGTGTCCTGTTCATCACGACCGTGTGTTTTATAATTCTGGATGTTGGGCAAGTTAGTTACAAAAAACGATGGCTTTAATTTAGATGGTGAAAGTGTTCTGGCACTGTCTGCAGATAAAATGAGGCTGGCATTCGGAATGACTGTGTTATTTATGCCGCAGCTTATATTCTTTCAAACCAGCAAGTCAGCCTTTGAAAACAGCTCAATACCACTTTTTATGTGAAGCTTACATTGCTGCTATTAATGTATGGACGGCTCTGAGTATTACCAAATTGTCTTTCCCCACAGTGCCTGGTGGCGAAGGAGGAGGAGCCTCTGTGATGTTGCCAGCCGGGGAATACTGGCTGTGTGTCCCTGCCTCTCACCTGAGGCCGTTCGTGCAGACGGTCAGGGTGGTGCAGGCCTGGCCCCACTGCTGCTGGTTCCCAATGGTTTTCCCTCCTGCCCCTGAGCCGTCCTGTGTGCCTGCTGTGTTCCCTCCACTACCTCCCTCCGCCTCACTCCCCTCCGCACCGCAGGCACCCCAATCTACCGACCCTAAGCTCTGCCCGTTGCCCCCTACGGATGACTGTAGGCAGGTGAAAAATGTGCAGTTCGGGACGGTAAGTTTGGGGGCTTTTTTGATGGTGAAGGTTAAGACTTGATTTTTATTGTACTTGTTAACAACTTTTCCAGTTACCACTTCATGTGAGACCAGGGTTGTGGTAACTAACACCAGGAGAGGGTTCCAAGCAATATGAAATGGCACTGATGTGTCTGAAAACTAGTGGAATGACATCTTTTCAAAAATTAAACGGTTAATTTTGCCCTGCCGAGCACTAAATATAAAATAGGAGGCTTCATGCACAGGTGTAGGAAAGAAAGGGCTTTCCTGAGACGTGCTTGTATAACACGCCTCGCTGAAGCAGCAGCCTGTACGTTGACTTCTACAGCTGGATGCCAACTGATGAGTTTGTGCTGAGTTTCTAGGTTTTACCTCATGCCTAGGCAATGCAGTGAGGTCGTAACTATTCAACGAATCTACGTGAATGCTAACCACCCCATATCTTCCTTATGTGGAGACCTCAGAAGGTTTGATATTCCATCTTTGACTACAATGTCAAGATGATCGCTAAAGTGATGGCGCTATTGAAAACATAACAGCGTAGATGTTTTAAAAACCTAATTTAAAAATCTAGTTAACAAATTCTCAGAGGAATAGGGTGGATGATCAAACCGAGTTTAGGCCTAAAGCTGGTTTTGTTCAGGCACCGGGGTCTTGCTTAGGAGAATGGTAGGGGCCTCCCGACTGCTGTGTGTGGAGAGGCCCCTTGAATTGAAGGCAGGTGGAATATGTTTACGTGCCTGTGGTAGAAATCAAACATCTTTCCCTCAGGAAATTCCTTTTGCTTTTCTTTAAAAGAAAGGCTTCCTCACAAAACCTTCCAGACCTAGCTGCTTTTAAGTAAATTATTTCCCTTTCTCTCTCTTTCAGGCTTTTCAGGACGGCATACTTCAGAAGCTGGTGAGCATGAACGGCGCGGAGGATCTCCCCGGGTCCTACGACTACGACCTCATCATCATTGGCGGGGGCTCAGGAGGACTGGCGGCCGCTAAGGCAAGGCTCCTTCCTGTGCGCTCCCCGGGCTCCAGGTGGAAGGTCACCCCTCACCGGGTTCTCTAGGGAGTTTGGCCCTCTTGGGACCTTGGACACATTCATCAGGACGGGTCATGTCTAGAGACTGCTTCACAGTGTTATTTTCAGGTTGAATTGTGTGTTCTTTAGATAAAAGTACTGGGCCCAATATTTTATGGCACAAATAACTTCCTTTTAACTTTGGTTGATTTTTTTCCCAAAGATTATAAGTGTGTCATATATAAAAATGCTGTGAAATTAAATACATTTCTTATCCTTTGTACAACTTAATTTTTTCTTTTTTGCCACTTTGATGATTTTCCTCTTTATACCCCTCTTCCCTAGTAGAAAGCTGGAGGGTAGTTGGATTTCTTAAACTTAATTGTGGAAAATGCCAGCCTTCCATGTATCTCTGTGAGCTGTGGTAGCAACCACTGACTGACTGGGGTGAGGGGTAGAGGGCGTACAAGTAAGGAGATTAGGGCGAAACTCCTGGTCCTGCTGAGGTCCATTTATGAGGAGGCCACACCTGTCATTTCCCCCACTGGTTCTTTTAAAAGATGAGGTGTAAGGTGCATCTGGTGTGCATCAGTGAAAGTAGCTTCAAACAGAATGAGCAGGTTGGTGATTGACATCAAGCTCTGTTTTGCTGCGATTCAGGGGTAACCCTGGATACATTTTACTCTAATTGATGGCATTTTGAAGGCTATATACTCAGTTCTAATTGTGAATACACAGAGCTTATTCTCTGAGAAAGATGGGGTACTCTGTAACACGGGGTTCCCACTGTTGTCATAGCTCCTGTAAAATACCTTTGGAAATCTCAGATACTACCGTTTTCCCAGTGGTTTTTAGCATGAAAATTATAGGAAATCTGATAATTTTAGAGGAAAAAATTCTCCAATATTCTACATAGAAACTGAGGCAACCTAAAAGTTGTAAAAGTATTATCTTGTAGGATGCGGGCTGGATCAAGGATTGCCGGCAGCAGTAAGCCTGCTTTGTCACATCTTACCATTGGCTTCAAAATGGGCACATGCCACTTAGCTTGTGGAAAACCTGGAATCATCTTCCATGATTCAGATTGAAATCATGTTGGGGGGATTCTGGGGTTTGCGGCTGACGACTCTTGACAGTTTCACAGCTGGACTTCCATATTCTTTAAGGCTACCCTTAAGACTCTGGGCTTTCTTGACTTTTATCTTTGTGTATCAAGTGATATACCATCATCTTGGTGTGTGAAGTTGCCAGGTGTTATTAACTGGTTATGTTTTAGCACTATAGCTTTAACTAAAGCAGTGTGGACTTTCAGCAGCTTGTTTCAGGTTTACTGTATTTGACTTTTCTAACTCATTTTAATAATTTCATTTTCTAGGAAGCAGCCAAATATGACAAGAAGGTAATGGTCTTGGATTTTGTCACTCCAACCCCTCTTGGAACTAGATGGGGTAAGTGTTTATAGTATATATAGAAGTAAAATTTTAAGAGGAGAGTTTGTTTTGAATTTGGCCGAAATGGTTCTTAAAACCAATTTAAAAGTCTAAAAACAAATCAAAACCCCACACAAGCCAAAAACAAGTTTCACATGAAACTTAAAGAACATGGCTGTGGCTTGTTTCCATTAGAACAAAATATAGGCAGGTGGGAGGTGGGCAAAATGGTATAAGAACGTCTTCACAGCGAACACAGCTCAAGAAACACCAGCCCTCTGCGGGGAATGCCAGAGAGTCCACAGAATCGGATCACTGTCTTAACAACAGAGCAGCACATGCAAAGGTCTGGAGGCAGCTAAGAATCCTTTTGATGATTGTGGTGTGGGTGGTAAGACGTAGTTTTATGGGTCAAGGTTGGGGAAGATGGTAGCAGTCAAACTGTACAGATCTTTCTAGGCCAAGTAAGGAAATTTGAACCTAGTTGAAGCACAGCAGGGAGCTTCTGAGGGAGTAAAGGGACATATCCATTTTATGAAGATGAATTAGAAGCTGCTGGAATTAGGAGGCAAAAAGCAGCAAGTCCAATGAGAGAGTGCCACAATTTCTAATTCATCCATCAGCAGGTACTCACCAGCCGTCAGTTTTGTGTCAGGCACTGTTCTGCTGCTGCGTCCCCTCTGGCCTGTGGAGTAACGGACCCTCTGGTAGCATTCCCCTCGCAGGTCTTGTGTTTCCTGCCTGTCCCATTCACTGTGAAGACATTCTTACACTATTCTGTCCACCTCTCACCTGCCTACGTTTTGTTGTATTGGAAACAACCCATCGCCATGTTCTTTAAGATCAGGGAGCCAAATGCTTTTTGGTGTTTTCCCCGCATGTATTCCTGTGAGAGTCAAGGGAACATGTACTTAAAAGAATGGGAACATGTACTCCAGGTTTTATATGTAGTCCCAGACCCCTTGCTGTCTAGCCAGGTTCACATCCCCTTTATCAATTAGTTGTGTGTCTAGACTTGTTATCGCACACTGCTGTGTGCACAGAGTAAAATCCTACTTACTGGCATCTTTGCCAGCAAGCTGTCAGCCTTGAGCCTTTGTGGTGCGGGAATCTGCTCTTGTTTTTTTGTAGGGTGCTGTCCAGGGTATTTGGTGCCTGTGACTCTGAATTCAGAAATGCCACTGACTTTAGGAGCGTGTTTACCGTTGGCTATTTGAGCATACCCGCTTTGTGTCATAGGGTGGTGATAAGCTGTTCTCCGATGCTCTTGCAGGCCTTGGAGGGACCTGTGTCAACGTGGGCTGCATCCCTAAAAAGCTGATGCACCAAGCCGCTTTGCTAGGACAAGCCCTGCAGGACTCTCGGACCTACGGCTGGAATGTTGGGGAGTCAGGTATGGGGAGAAGCTACCCTGCTTGCACTTTTGGGCGGGGAGGGTGAGCTGTGATCTGGCAGTGCACCGTCCATTTCTGTGAGCTTAGCGAACAGCATGGACGGTCTGTTGTTCACACTTCCGGCGGATAGAATCACTGCGGCCTCTGCGGCGGGGCCCTCGGCAGCGTTGCTCACTCGTGGGAGCCAGACTTGCCTTCAGATAAAGCCTCGTCACTAGGCAGGATTTTCGAAGGGAGTGCAAATTATATTTGCTTGTCTTTGAAGCTGTTGTATCTTCTCTCCAAAGAAGCCTGTTTCATGCCTGTTTCAAGAGCTGGTATTTGGGCGAAGGGCTATTTGTTGAGGGAGGTAGTGGTTAGTATTTCGGTTAAAAATATTTAGCGTATACCCTTGAAAAGATGAGGAGGGATTTGCTGACTTTAGAAAACAGCCTGCGTTGTCTGGCATAGCTTCCTGGGTAGTTAATGGCATATGTCCGTCTGCTCTTGAAGAGGGGTGCAGCAACCCCTGTCAGATTTTAGCACTGAGATCTGTGGGTGTAGGATACTTGAGGGAAAATCTTGTGGCCAGTAGCCCAGGGTAAATTATTTTGCTGAATTTTAGTGAATAGTTCATTAAATAGTTAAAAAAAGGCATAAACCCATCCTTTAAGATAAATTGCCCCATTCAAACTGGTCGTGCTTTGCTGCTTTTATTCCCAATTAAAAATCAACAGTACTTTTGTTCCACATCTGGAAAGGTTAGAAATAAGTTGCCTTGAAACATTTCTCTATGCGTGCCCATAGAGGAATGGCCTTTCTCTTCCTGGAAGCCTACTGTGAATAGATCCAGTTAACAACAGGGTCATCCTTCAATTAATCTTACACTTGTTAGTAGACATGTTAGAAGTCCTAGGAAATTATTTAATGCAGTGTGTTTGCTATTTATGTTTCAGTCTGTGCTGGGAAAATCCACAGGTAGTGATACAAATAATTGTTTTCATAGATGTACTGATAACCATTGATTTACAGACCGAGTGCCCTGGGGGTCCCGAAGGGGGATTAATAAAATAATTTAAGAGGAGACTGGAGATGACGTCTCAGGTATTGCGTCCTTGATGGTCCAAGGAGGGGATAGTGTGAAGAGGATGGACAGGGAACCTGTTTGCAGAACAGCAAACACCCCAGTGTGTCTGGAGCTGGTGTGTGTAAGGAGCACGTATGAGACGGGCTCGAGGACTGCCTGAGGCTGGACACTGGTGCTCATGGGAGCCACATGTCCTGGGACCAAGTTGGATCAGATGCACGTAGATACTCCTTTGCATGGTTCTTGGGGCAGGAGGAGAATGGGGAGAGGGTCAGGACCTGGCTCCAGCAGAAGGGGAGCAAGCCACTGCTGACTTTCCCATCACTCATCACCGCCTCCCGCCAGGCTTCTGGATTTGTGGACACCTGGGTGAGAATGGGGGGTTAAAGTCAGGCCACCTCAGGCAACCTCCACTCTCTCGTCCATCCTAGCCCGGTGCCTATTTGACCCTGTGGTCCCTGTGGGGAGACGCTGCTGTGCCTGTCTGGTGAAGCAGTTAGCCAGGTTGCAGCTAAGGGGTGGGTGGCACTGGGATTCAGACTGAGGCCTTTCTGCCCTCAGCACCCATAGCCCTGACCGGAACTCTTGGTCGGACCTCGCCCCCGGGAACCCAAGGTGAAGATCCCTCCTCTACTCTGGCCTTCCTGGCTCATCCAAGCGTAGGCTAGTATAGTCGAAAGACTTGGGCACCCACTCTGGCTTTGTTATGTGCTGCCTGTATGAATGAAGATTAAATACTTGCCGCGCACAAATCCTAATTTCTGTCCCTTCCTGCTGGACTCTTCATTTCTCTCATCAGAGTCTCACTGCTGAGCTGTGAAAACCAGAGCTTTGTGGGTGTTGTCTGCCATGCCTGCTGGGAGCCACCACTGAGGGAGCAGGAATTACCACCCTGTTTTGGCAGAAAGTGATTGTGAGGAAGAATACAGTGGATTTAGCTAAAAATTACTTGATGTCACTGAGTCTTAGAAATAAACAAATGTGGGGCAAATGAGAAGCCCCTAGAAGCTGCTAATTTATGTTCCCGGCAGAGGAAACCTGAAGACTTAATTTGCATTTTTCAAATAGAAACCTGTCTAATCCGCATGACCTTGACCAAGGAACAGTCTTTCAGTTTCCTAGGAAGGCCCTTGCCACCCCACTAGCTCCTGGCATGGGCTGGGGTTGGCAGGAGACCTGGCCAGCAGAACAGCTCCCTCTGCCTGGCAGCGGGGGAGTGACAGCCCAGGCCTGAGCAGGGATCTAATGTCATCAGGAGTAAATAACTCCTAACTATGTCTTATTTTAAAATTGGATCTCTCTGTGGGATTTGCGCAGTGAAATTTAGTAGTTCTTCAGTGGTACAATTTGAGAATTGAGGCCTGCTTTTGACCTGGTTCGTTGTTTCTCCAGGGGGGTTGGATGTGGTGTGTCGGACTGGATAGCTCCTGGTCACGGGGTAGAAAGAAGGATACATGTCACCACAGCCCCTTGGGTATCCCTGAGTCACTGCAATGACCAAAGTCCCCACCCATCAAATGATGTCTGGGGCTGGCTTAAAATATCCTACTTATAAAGAGAGGGTATATGGAACAAGATGGGGAACGTGTTGATGATTGTTGGAGTAGATGCTTGGCGTGTGGGAAGACTTACATCTGCTCCATGCCCGATGGAGACACTGCATGTCCCGCTTTACGGTGGTGGCAGTGGAGGCGGATCGGCCACGACTGCCCTGGCCTCCACGGCCGCTTTGCTTCCTGCCGAGCTCACCTTCAGGGTTTGCTCCAGTGCTTCACATTTTCCACCTGTGTAAAGTGGGTGGTGTCTGTAGCGGCCACGGCCAGTCTTTGTGCTGGCGTTCCAACTTCCAGAAGCTGGCCGCCACATTTTCCAGAGTTGGTCTCAGCACCTCCTGTGTGCCCCACGTACTTAACCCTGAATCTAGGACTCAGACGCCTCATTCTGTGATAGAGCCTTTCCGTGTCCACTGACCTCCTCCTCTGCCTTCCAAAGCACAATTTCCCCAGAATCTACCTTCTTCCTGCAACCACAGTGTATTTTTATCTGTCTCCTACTTGTCCTAGTCATTGAGAAAGGTAGTAATGAAGGGTCGTTTTTTTTGTTTTTTGTTTTTTAAAATCTGCTGAAGTATATTACTAGTGTCTTCGTTCAAAGGATTAATTTTATGATAGCATTACAAAAATCTCTTTGTTCAATTGGAGATGTGAAGGGCGATGATACAGACTCTTAAAGATCTCTAACCAAGCCGGGCGGGTCTTTTCCAGTAAAGGGCCAGGGAGTAGATATTTTCAGCTTCACGAGCTGTGCAGTGTCGGTCACCGTAGTTCAGGCCTGCGCTGGTAGCCTCACAGCAAAGTCCCACACGCTCTGTAGACAGGTGGTTGTGGCCTTGTTTCAGTAAACCTTGACCTACACCAGAGTGGGGTGGGCTGCGGCTGACTGACAGGCCTTCGTTTGCAGTCCTCCATCTAGACACTGTAGCTGCAGCCTGGCTACCTCAGGGCTGTGGGATGGCCGCCAGAGAACTGTACCCTGCTCCTTCACTGTACCCTGCTCCTTCACTGTATTCATCACCCAACACGAAATTCCTATTCTTTGCTAGACAGAGGTTTGTGTATGATTAGGTTAGTCTTCATAATTGCAGGAAACCTTGCATTATTTAATTGTAAGTAAAAGAAGGGATGTAATTTTAAAATGGGGAGAGGGTTGAATTTTTTTTTTTTTTGGCATGAGTATTGAAGATGAAGATTGTTTACATGCTTAAAACAATGGATTAGCCTTTTGCATGAAAAGCTCTATTCTTTGTATTCCATGTTCTTAACTGCGGAACAGCCTTCAGCAGTCAAAAGGGTAAATGCTGCCTTCTTGTCTTGCGCAGTTAAACATGACTGGGAGAAAATGACGGAAGCCGTGCAGAACCACATCGGCTCGCTGAACTGGGGCTACCGGGTGGCCCTGCGGGAGAACAAAGTCACCTATGAGAACGCCTACGGGCAGTTCGTTGGTCCTCACAGGATTAAGGTAATTGTGGGGCAGTCTAGGTAGCCTCTTTCTTTCTTTTTTATGGTGAGCTTTAATGGGGGGAGGGAAGGCTGTACAGTAAAAGTATTAATCACTGTGACCTAGACTGTCTAGTGTGGTGATTTTGCTGTCTCCTCTTCTGGGGATTTCTCTGGTGTGAAGTTAGAGCAAGAGTGTGGGGCCGATGACCTGGGCGTGAGTCAGACTCGGCCACCGCTACGATGGTGTTGTCGCCTCCTGCAGTCTCCATCCATTCGGAGTCTCCTCTCATTGTGCACTCGGGCTCATGCTAAAGGATAATGACTTAATAGACATTGACTTACTGGTTCCTTTATAGGCAACAAATAACAAAGGCAAAGAAAAGATTTATACAGCGGAGAGATTTATCATAGCCACTGGTGAAAGGCCACGTTACTTGGGTATCCCTGGAGACAGAGAATACTGCATCAGCAGGTAAGGGGCCCGGGAAAGGAAGATGCTCTAGGCGTCTGTTTTTGCTGCTGCTTCTAACCCATTTACTCTGTTTCCTGAACTAGTTTTTTGCCACCTCTTTTCTTTGCCCCAGGGTGAGGGTACTGGGAAAAATAAAGGAATCATTATTTTACACAGCTAACACTTGAAAATTTCAAAACTAACCGTCAGTCATCTTATCTATAGTAAATGCCAATAGGACATATAGATAATAGCATATAGACACATGCTTATAATATTTTTATTTGAAATTATATGTTTGGGTATATGTTATAAATGTTGGCTGTTTAAAACTAGGTAGCTATTCAGGGTTACCTACACTACCCATTAACACTTGCAGGATGGGCGTGGACGGAATCTGGTGGCCGGTCCTTCAGCTTGAGCTATCCTGGTCTACTCAGTGTAGAGGGCCTTCTGGAGTGAGGGCGTCGGGCAGGAAGGTTCTGCTGCATGATTTATTCTTGCCCATCAAACAGTGGTGCTGGTGGCATTGTTCAGGAGCTTTCAATTGTGGACTCCCTGTGACAGGTTTTTCACAAATAGGTACTCTGGATGATTTTTGTCCAGAGTATTTTACAAAGGTCTTCTTTTTTGTACAGTGTATGCCTTCGCCTCTAACCATTGCCATTTAAAATATTCCCTTATAGTGCTGTTTAACATCTCTTCTGTCTTCTTCATCTTCATTCAATGAGAAGATTTTGTCAGGCTTTACATTTTATAGTTGACATTTGCATTAAAAAATTTCCCACCCTTTTTCTTAGTCTCGATAATTGATGTTGCATTTTAAAGGATAAAACATAGATATCCTACTTGGGAAGAGAGCTGAGAGGGGGCTAAGAATAGGGGCTTTGGGTTTACACGTGTGTGTTTTGTTTTGCTTTTTAAATTAATTTTTAAAAATTTTCTTACATTGTGCCTTTTTGTACAATATTTGATTAATCTGGTCAGATGTAGTCCCCAGAAGTCTACCACCACCTGCATGTGTGTGGTTCTAAATGTAACTGAACCATTCTGAACAGCACAAAATCCTTTTGTCTCACAGCGTGCCACCCTCATTCAGAAGTCACATGGTTTACTGTGCTTAGCCACCACAGCTGGAACTATTCCAAAGCAAATAAATGGCAAAAAAGGGAGAGTTTCCAAAGACCTTATAAAAAATTCTATTTTATGTATGTAGCTAGTTGAATGTTTTTACTCTTAAAGGCCTCTGAGTCCTAAGAAGTACTTTGACATGATAGTTACTCACATGAACATTTCTCTCTTTCCCCCCCAAATTTCTTTTCAGTGATGATCTTTTCTCCTTACCTTACTGCCCGGGTAAAACCCTGGTGGTTGGAGCATCCTACGTGGCTTTGGAATGTGCTGGATTTCTGGCTGGCATTGGTTTAGATGTCACTGTGATGGTGCGGTCCATTCTTCTCAGAGGATTTGACCAGGATATGGCCTACAAGATTGGTGAACATATGGAGGAACATGGGGTCAAGTTTATAAGAAAGTTTGTACCAATAAAAGTAAGTGGGATTGCTGGTATGATAATCCTGTATTCTTGTTAAAAGGGAAGAGGGAGAAGTGGGAGTGGGTGCTGGAAGTACCCCTTCAGCAGAGAAACCCTTCAGCATGCTGCAGCTCGTCAACTCTGTGAGCAGCTCACACCTGCCGGCCACCTCTATAGTTTTGTTCTTACTTGCAGATTATTTTCTTCCCTTCTCAGCTTTCTTTTTTGGTTCTCTTCTGTCTAAGGCTTCCCTTTATGCCTCCTTTTATTTTATTTTATTTTATTTTATTTTTTTTTTAGATTTATTTATTTATTCATACAGAACTGGGGTACAGGCCAGAGATGCGGAGGGTGAGAGGATTCACCAGAGACAGAGCGGGAAGCAGAACAGGCAGATCTACGAAGTACACTGCTGAGGGGAGCAGCGGGCGGGCCAGGAGAGGTCTGCCACGCCATGTGGTCACCTCCGGGGCAGGCGGGAATCGAACTCATGCGGAAGTGGCTTTAGTTTCTCAGTGCAGTGCTTTAACCCGCTGCGCCACCAGGGAGGGCCCCGCCTCCTTTTATTTTCTTATCTTTGGTCTGTTGTACTTGTTTCCACATCATATCAGCAGTTCAAATGAGAGCTCATTTAAATGATTTTTTTCTTTTCTTTCCATAAGGCAGTTCTCGTGGGGTAGAGAGTGTAGCTAACAGACACACTGGGTTACTCTGAGCTTCCCTAGGAAGTTATCTGGCTTTTCTGGCCTCACTTGCTTTTGAAAAACCTGAGCAATATGTTAAGTAATGTTTAGAATTTGTCAAAGATTACCACAAATGTTTTGTTACAGAAGAATGACAAAATTGATCACTGTATCTCACTGTTAGTTTCTTTAGTGCAAAAATCTAACTTTTTTGTTAAATTTTAGCTGTTTTCTTTTTTAATTGCTCAATAACTTAGGACCATGAGCCTCTTAATGGTGACAAGGTATGTGCATTGGCATCAGGATCACGAGTTCAAATTCTGTTGACAGCTGTTAGCTATTATTTGGGGGGATCACTCACCCTTTTAGAGACTCAGTCTCCTTATAAAATGAGAAGATAATTGCATTTGCCTCAGCATTTTTGTGAGGATCAAAGCTTATACTTAGTAATTAGAATCTTCATCGAAGATGTATCTATCTCATACTGTATCTATCTCATACTGTGTTTGAGGTAGGGAGCAGGGCACCCAGAAGTGTCGGTGCTTGATTGCATTGCGGTGTCTTAGGGAGCAGAAGGGCGCACCTCTGGCTGCCTCAGAGCTGGTCTGGGTGTCGTACTGTGGGCCCCTTTGAGAACCTCGCAGATTCTCCCTAGTGTCTGTGCACATGCCATGTTGCTGGGGTTTCCAGGGTGTGTCTGATCCCCATAGACAGGCAGAGAATGCTGGAGGGGATTATTAAGTGACAGGGGAGACCTGCAGAGAGGAGGGAGAGAGTGCATTTTGGACTAACACTGTCTTTGGGGAATGAAATTGTTCGGATGCAGAGATTGCTCGAGACAATAGAAAGGCCTCAGTGGAGTGCAGAATGAGCAAAGAAGGAGGGAAAAGAGGTGGGATGGGGCCCTTCTCATTTTGAAGCAAGTAAGCCGTGGATTAATTCAGCACTTATGCAAAGAGTAGAACATTTTAATTGAAATTGAACAGAGAGACATTTGAGTAGGTTCAAAGGGGCGTGACCACATAAGAAATGATGGGAATTTGAGAAGGAAAATCTTGATTGTTTATTGATCCTGAAAATGAGATGACCCTTGAGCGTTTCCCCTTCAGAGTGGTTGGATTTTCAAGGTAGAAAAGGAAAATTGCAGGTGATTTTATGGGTTTCCCTAGTAATATTTTGCAGAAATAAGTGATGTGGCTGTCACTTAGCGACATCGAGATGAACTGTACACGTGCAGAAATCTCTGGGTGGCGGGGTCTGCGCGATGGTGAGCTGGCCTGCGGGCTGCAGCTGGCGCCTGCGTGTTGTAGCTGAGCGTGCTTGGCCACGTTTGCACAGCACAAGTGCCGCAGCTGCTGGTTCCTGCAGCGGAAGCACGCCCTGTTCCACTAAACACACACCCCTTGCCCGCTCGGGCTTGGGCTCCTCTGGTTGGCATCTGTATCGTGGTGGCCTGCTCCCATGTCTGGTCTTAGTGGACGAAGCTGTGTATCTTCAGGAAACTGGCTCTCCGGGGCAAGGGGACCGGGGAACACTAACATCGGTGCCTGGGAAAGCCGGGAGGGTAGTAAGTGTTTTGGTTTAGGGTCTGTGCTTGCTTTGGCTTTTTTTCTTTCCCACTCTTCTCTCTGAATTTTCTCCAACCGGGAACTAACCCTGCTAGCAGATGCTAAGAGGCAAGGAAGAAGGGTGGCAATAGAAGAATCACTTATCTTCCTAGTGATGTCAGGGTGAGAGAGAGGGGACGTAAAAGGCCTTCCAAGCCAGATGTGGTGTTTTTTTTAGCGATGGACTAAGTAGGTAAAGGGGGGGACATAATTAATCCACTGTGACGATGTTTCTGTTATGGAATAAGACTCATGTTGCTTTTCCAGGTGGAACAAATCGAAGCAGGGATGCCAGGCCGACTCAGGGTGGTGGCTCAGTCCACTCAGAGTGACGAGACCATCGAAGGAGAGTACAACACGGTGAGGCGTGGGTCGGGAGCCCGCCCTCAGGGGCAGGAGCTCTGAGTACTTATAGTAGTTATGTGCTGTTCCCAACCTGTGCTGTTCCAAGACATCTTGATTACTTGTGATACTTATGATTTGTTTGGGCAAGAATTTCCCTGTCCTCTGTTCTTTAATTTCCCTGGCCCACGTTAAAAAGAAAACAAAACAAAAATCAAAGTCATAGGCTATGCTGTGTTTGTATTTAAACACTGAATTTACTAGGAAATTGACTGAATTTACTAGGAAATTGCTGGCTGTCTTTTCTTTTTTTCAAGAAATAGCTAAACTCAGAATACTTGCAGCCACCCTTTCTTGTTGAAAGCTTTTTTTTTAAGATTTAAATTATTCTCCCTTAAAAAAAAAGATTTATTATACTTATTTATGCATACGAGTGCTGGGGTAGAGGCCAGAGGTGCAGGGGGTGGGAGGACTCACCAGAGACAGTGGGGAGCAGGACAGACAGATGACTGAAATGCATTGCTGAGGGGAGCAGTGGGCGGGTCAGGACCATGTGGGTCACCTCCCTGGCCCAGGACCAAATTGCAGTGGCTGTGAACAGCTTCATAGTGCTGAGATTTAACTCCTTGTGCCACGAGGGATGCCCTTGTATTATTTTCTTAATGAAATATTTCTTCCTGGAAAATGAAATCAGATTGATTTAATAAGCAGATAAAAATATTGAAAAATTTATGCAAAGCCTTTTGGTTAATAGTTACTAATATGCTAATACTTTTTTCAGGTGTTGTTGGCAATAGGAAGAGATGCTTGCACCAGAAAAATTGGCTTGGAAACTGTGGGTGTAAAGATAAATGAAAAGTAAGAAAATATTTATCATGACTTACTGATTAATATTTCAGTTGTTCATATGATAATATTGATTAATAGTGGATTTTTAGATTTTTAAAGTTAATTTTTACCATGGAGAATCCCCTTTTTAAAGTTAGAAAACTCTTATGCTACTGATATTAGTATTTCCTTTTTGCTTATTTTTTTTCTTTTCAAAATAAATGAGAAATTGGCTAGCGTTTTTGTTAACATGTGTGTGTGTTCAGAAAAGGAATCCAGCCCCAAAGTTAACTGCAAGTATGAGCGTTAAGTGTCACTAAGTATGTAGGGAGGGTTATGTTATCGTTGCTAACCCATCAAGGGGTGCGCTGACTGCTGTGTTTGCCCGAATGTAGGAGACTTCGAGCCAGGATAGAATGAAGCAGGGGCCTGGGGTCTGGGGTCTGAATTCGGAGTCTGTTTATTAGGGCAACCGTGGGTATATATAGTGTCTGTACATGCAGGGAAAAACAGGAAATATGCCTGACCAGGAAGTGGGGTGCCTGTTTGTACCGGGCCTGGGGCTTCTTATAGCCTCCGCTTGAAACAAAGTCGTGGGCTGCAGCTATTTGCAGGCCGAGTGCACTGTGCTCTACTGGCTTGTTTGTTGGCCTCACTGGGGAGTGTGCTCACCCATGCACAACATTAGCCAGGGCGGACAGGTGCACTTGAGGTCCTGCAGAGTTAGCCATAAATCATGTTTTAAGTCTTAGCATCACTTGAGTGGTCACTGTATTTTGGGGGACAGCTGTGCATGTGAACACTTGTTTCTTGAAGGGAAAGTTAAAGTCCAGTGTAAAGCGACCTTGGAGACCGCCCCTGGTGTCTGCTTACAGTGTCAGCTGGGGAAGTGCCAGTATCACTTTTTTTTTTACCTTAAAGCAAAAAGAAGTGCTGTGAATGACAAGCTGCCCTAGAAATTAAAAATACAGTACTGATTTATTTTGGGGGAGTGGGAAGACAAAGGAATCAAGGAGGTCAGCAATAAAAAATGTTGTAGTCAAACAAATCCTCGTTATAACCTGCTAGCTTATTTCCACTTGGTTCAAGGTTTAGATCTTACCCAGTGTTAATAGCTGACATTATTCTGCGCTATTCTGCGCTTCCTGTGAGCTGTGGGCTAGCGTGCTGTGTTCTGTAGGCCTTCTCGTCCAGTCATCACAGCCCTTTAAGGTAGCTCCTGGTATCCTTTTTCTTACTATTACCCCATTATCAGTATCATTTTCATGGGAAAGTGAGTCTTAAAGATGTTAACTAGGACTTCTGTGATCAAAGAGGGAATAAGTTAACAGACCTGGTTATCGCATTCAGTCCTCATTCTTAACTACTATATTTCAGTTTTCCCACGTCAGAAGTCCTTATAATTTTCTGACTTGTTTAATTTCCAAAATAGCAACCAGAACTGTCTCTTAAGTTTTTACTTCTTCTGAGGTTTTTTTTTTTTGGTTTGTTTGTTTTGTGGTATATTCAAGTATTGCCCTCAGCTGAGAGTCACAATTTTGGGCTTTGTGAGAAAAGCAATTTTGTTTTACTTACACAGTAGTGATCATTGATAATTATTTTAACTGAATGAATTTGCAGGACTGGAAAAATACCTGTCACGGACGAAGAGCAGACCAACGTGCCTTATATCTATGCCATCGGGGACATACTGGAGGGCAAGCTGGAGCTCACCCCTGTGGCCATCCAGGCCGGGAGATTGCTGGCACAGAGGCTCTATGCCGGCTCCTCCGTCAAGGTGAGTGGGCCGTGGTCGGTGTCACTCCCGGCTCTGTAGCTAGGGGAGTTGGGAAGTTTGCCAGGACTTGAGTACTTTGGTTGTGTTGATGATGGCCTTGTAGATGTGCTCGGTTAGCTGTACTCCAAGTGTGGTGTGTCAGGCTGCTGTTCTGTGACTTCGTTGTGAACGCCCTTGGAGTCACACAAAGAATAAACGAGCTTGGTTAGTCAAGTTCCAGCACTCTTATGTTCCGTGTGCTTATTATATAGTTGCCTTGTGCATCAGTTTCATTACTTCCAATTTCACTATAACTTTCTTTGATGGCATTTTTATGGCACTGATCTAGGTTATAACAGGAGATGGAGGTCTAGGTAATACTGCAGAGCTGCTTAACCATATTTAGTCAGCCTTTATTCCCCAGCCTTTCTAAAAATAGATCTTTCACTTCTGGAATGTTGAAAATTCTAGCTTAATGTTTTAAAGTAATTTTTAAAAATCACTAGGAAATTGAACTCTGAGGTTTGGTTCTCGGAATTTGAATATGTTTAATCTTTTAAAGACTCTTTTTTTTTTTAAAGAGCAGTTTTAGTTTTACAGTAAAGCTAAGGATGGTACAGAGAGTTCCCATGTGCCTCCGTTGTTTAAAGCAGGAAGGTAAATCTGAACCCTGACTCTGCATTATAGCTGTGAGTGAATGTTTGCTTTTACTTTGGAATCACAATTCCAAGAGCTTATGTTCTTACGGGGATGGTATTTATTGTTGGCAGAGGAAGGTTCATTTTAAAGATTTCACCCTGTTTTAGAAGGAAGAATTCATCACATTTTAGATTCATCTCTGAGTGACAGGTTAAGTTTTTACCAAATGGCATTTAATTAGTCCATTTTTCACAATTCATATCAGCATATTAAAGATTCTGAGAAATCTGGTAGTAGAGAAACCTGTTTATTTTGCTTATTAATTCAGCATTTACAAGCTTGCTTGACTTCTAAATCTTTTGGTCACTTATCCCTACTACTATCATGAGATATACTTTGGAAATAACTTCATAATGATTTGCTTTTTTTTTGCTTCTGTGTCTGGTAAAACGGTAATACATTTTATTGGTTGCCTTTTACTACATCCAAAGCAGGCACCTAGATCCACCTTCTTGTTGGCATGTTTGTTTTTTTTTTTTAAGATTTCTTTTTATTTATTTATGCACACAAGAAGTGGGGTGTAGGCCAGATGTGTGTGTGTGTTTGTGTGGTGGGGGCTAGAGGATTCAGCAGAGACAGTGGGGAGCAGAACAGTCAGATGGACGAAGGACACTGCTGAGGGGAGCAGCGGGGGAGACAGGAGGGGTCTGCTGCGCCATGTGGGCCACCTCCCTGGCCGGGGATTGAGCTCATGCCACTTGTTGGCGGTCGAGAGTTTGATCACACCAAGACTTTAAACCCTGCGCCACCAGGGAGGCCCGTTCTTGTTTGTATGTTGAAGCCGCTTCAGTGCTGCTGCCGGTGATGGGCTGCAGTGTCAGTGAACACACAGCCTTTCTGTCTCTACAATCTCCGTTATTTGGACAGTAGATGTTTTTATGGCTGTTAATGTGTACACACTAATGGAGTATCCAGAGTTATCACTTTCTCTCACCTATGAGACTCAGTATTAGACACAGTGGTATTTTTATCTGGCCTATTAATATGAGGGGAAAAGTGTATTCTTCTTAATGTCAGCTGGTAGCTGGATGGAGGAGCCAGGTGAATCATTTCTTTATGACGCCTTCCCAGACTTGAAATGTCTGCCAACACTTTATCATCTCGTTTAGTAAACCTGACTAGTGGTTTTACATTTGGGATTGTGTCTGTCCTTTTGGTAGGAAATGTGTTAGTGTGATTTCCAACTCACTATGAACCTTTTAAAAACATGCTCTTTTTTTGTGTTGCGATTTCTCTTACATAACTTTCTCTCCATTTTACAGTGTGACTATGAAAATGTTCCAACAACTGTATTTACTCCTTTGGAATATGGTGCCTGTGGTCTTTCTGAAGAGAAAGCTGTGGAAAAATTTGGAGAAGAAAATATTGAGGTACGTTCTATTCTTTACTCCTATATTAACTGTTATTAATTCTTCAAAATTTAAATTGCAAGTGAAAAGCAGTACGAAGAGTCTCCCATGATACAGATTTATGTATTAATGTTCCACCCGATTGCATTACACTTTTCATATTTTTTATCTTTGTATTATTTTGGAGTCCATTTGAGAATAAGTAATAAATTTTTTTTTAGTTTGCTTCAGTTTTTCACTATTAGAAATAGAATGTCTTTATAATTTCTTTTCCACTTCTCCGATTATTTTCTTAGGATAGATTCTTATCAAAAGATTAATTTTAAGATTCTTAAGATATATTCCATATTTTGTGATAATCTTTGACTTATTATAAGGATTTGTATTTTTCATTATAAAAGCAATGCCTTTGAATTGGAATTTTAAAAAATGTAAGGAAAGGGCACAGTTGTTAATAGACGTTACGTACACTTATATTAGCATTTTGGGATAGTTTCTTTAGTCTTCCCTGTGTAATTGTGGCATTATATACTCAATATTTTAACCCATATTTAAAAAACATTATATTCCAACATAGAAAATCACTTATTTTATCTCTACATACTATATTTTTAAAAGGTAGTCTACCATAACTTTTGAAAATAAGGTAGCCCTTTGAGGAGGGGAAAAAACCCTTCTCGTCATCCAGGTCCTTAGTAAGGGTGCTCCTGCATCCTTCCACAGGCCTGCCGTCTCCCCCCGCCCTCCTTTAGTACTTTTGGTGACTACTGCCAAAGGGGCAAGTGTCTTTGGAAGCGTTAAGCAAAAGCACTAGATAATTGCTATAATTGTTCTTGGCACCTTACTTTTTTCTTACCTACAGTTATCATCCCTGTAGATAGTGGTGAGGTTTTTATTTTTTGAATACCAGACAGCAAGTCATTACGTAGTTCCTTCATCTCATTTGATTGCTCTTTGTTATCATTACTTAAGGTTTACTTTCGAGGGTAATTCAACAAGGAGTCTAAAGTAATTTTATCTTTTGGCCAGATTTCTTGTTTATCCCATGAATTTTATTAGCTAGTGCGAGTCTAATGAACCTCGCTGTCGTCACGTACCCCAGTGTTTGACAAAGGTGTCTCACATGGTGGGTCTGAACTGTGCCCTTCTCTTCCAAGGTTTACCATAGTTACTTTTGGCCCTTGGAATGGACGATTCCATCAAGAGATAACAACAAATGTTACGCAAAAATAGTCTGCAATATCAAAGATAATGTAAGTGCAATTCTTGTTTTATCCTTTCTACTCATTTTGTGTTTAATGTGTAGTTCTGTTTGGCCATGTGGTACACATTACATGCCTTTGGTGTTTTACCTGTTGGTTTCTCCAACTCCATGGATATTATGGGGGCAAGTTTTGTGCCCCCACCTTTTGATCCTTTACTCAGGGTCCCCATCTCAGGGGTCTAGATGTGGTCAGCAAGCAGTCAAAAGTTCGGTGGACTAAGAACCCAGAGAGACAACTTGAGAACTGTGTTTGTGAAAGCAGATCATTGAACTGACTGTGACTGTCCGTGTTTAAATGTGCTTAGTTTCAAGTGGTTCTTAGTGTTTATTACTTGCTAGGCTTTTATTTTTCTAGGCTAGTCTGTTTTTTTTTATTATTATTACTATATCATATATTATTTACATCATTTTGTGCCTTTTTCCATCTCAGTTGTAATCCCCATGGTCTTCCCATCACCATATCACCCATGTGCCATCAACGTAGTCCTGTGTACTCCCCCTCTCCCATTTTTGACCACATTTCCCACTCCACCCCCATAAAATGTCTCTGGTATATAGTTGTTTGTTATTATTTTTTCTCCCTGGTCCTATATGCTCCTGCTGTGAGTGAAACCATCTGGTGTTTTGTTTTTTTTTTTTTTTTTTGTCTCTGGCTTATTTCACTAAGCATGATCCCTTCCAGCTCCATCCATGTTGCTGTAAAAGGCATGTGGGGTTTTTTGATTGCTGAGTAATATTCCACTGTGTATATGTACCACATCTTTTTAATACTGTCATCCACTTCTGGGCATTTGGGTTGTTTCCATGTCTTTCCTGTTGTAAATAAAGCATATGCTAGTCTGTTTTTAATGAAATACTTAAATTTTCTGAAAGATAGGAAAAGTACCCACCATCCAGACTGAGTAAATATTAACATTTTGTCTTAATTGCTTCAGAGTTTTTCTCTTATAAGGGAGAAAGCACCACAGAGGCAGTTTACATAGCCTGTGCTTGTTTCCCTCTTCTGTGTGACAAGTGGCCCTGAGGCCTACATGTATTACTTCACTAATCCTGACACAGTTACATGGGGCATGTACTCTCCCCCTTTTGTAGCGGGAAGAGTCTGAAGCTCCAGGAAGTTTAGTAATTGCGCCCTGACCTTGGCAGCACAGGAGTTCCGTCCCCGGCGGTGTAGCTGCTGTTTTCTGTCCGTGGTCTGTGTGTCCCGTGTGCCCTGTGTGTGTGGCCTTTGTATTCCTTTTTGATATTTGCTCCTTCCCTCTTGGCAGAGGCCACCCTGTCAGGAAATCTCTTCATATTTTCATGTTTGCCACCTGCTGTGGATCTATAAATCCTATATAACGGGGTTGCTGAAGAAGGGAAGCCGGGCAGCTTTCTTAATCTTAATCTCGTTAATTTTTGAGATCTCACCATACTGTCACATTTTAGTATAGTACGTAAATGCTGATGTGTTCTGTGCTCTTTTTATCCACACACTACACCCCTGAGCGTCAGGATGAGTAACGTAGGCCTCCTACATGGAACCTCTCAGAGCGCTTGAGCAACAGAAGGACCTTCCAGATGGTTTTCCAGGGAGCATTTGAACCTCAGCTGAGACTTGGTGTCCTGCAGCCCAGGTGGCCAGCTCTGTGATGAGACTCAATATTCCAGCTGTCAGACATTACTCAGAAAGCTTGTCAGCTGAATACACCAGCTTTCTCTGTTCTTGGCAGAGGTTACCCTGAGTTTGGGATTTAGGATTTAACCCAAAATAATCCCCACACAGAGTTGCTTTCAAAAATGTTTTCAGATTAGAAGAGTATTATGTTTTGAATTACGCTCTGCCCCAAAACCTTAGTTACAATGAGTTTCAACTTGAATGACGGTTTTTAAATGCTACAACTGTTCTGTCGGATAGTTTATCTGAAGCTTTGAGATACCTCAGTAGAGGGTCGAGGACAAGACTGCTTTGGAGACATTTTCCAGAGCATTTTGGTGCTTAAGGAGCTGCAGACACTTGCTTGTATGGGCTCTTCGCCACCACGTGCCCCACTCCTGTCTTCTTCCCGTGTGCTGTCCCCCCACACCAGCTGCAGGCCACGAGGGCATGTCCCCAGCTTTCGACCGCTTTTCGCACCATTCGTAGACATCTTTGGCTCTTTCTGAAAGGGGCTTTTGGGAGTAAATTGGGGAAGTACGCCGGGTGTCACAGGGCTGGAAACAGTGTGATTGTATGGCTTTGTGTCCTAGGAACGTGTTGTTGGCTTCCACGTGCTGGGTCCAAATGCTGGAGAAGTTACCCAGGGCTTCGCAGCTGCCCTCAAGTGTGGCCTGACCAAATCGCAGCTGGACAGCACCATCGGGATCCACCCTGTCTGTGCAGAGGTGAGCCTCGGCTTTCCGCACCCTGGGGAGGTGCACGCGCCCTGGCGCTGCTGCTCTTGTCTGCGAGGGGGGGAGGGGGGGGCACACAGGCCTCGCCTTCTCCTTCCAGCTCACTGACGCCATAGAATACTCCAAAGAAAGCCCTGTCTGGAGAGGAATCTTGCTCTTTCAAATATTCTTTATTCCTGGTGTGGACCTGGATAGCAAGGTCATGCTATTAAGTGTTAAAAATGATGAAAATGATCTATAGAGAGGCGCCTCAACCTTTTGTTTATTATGTCTCCTCAGTTATTGGCATGGCAGTCGGTTCATAGCACCATTCATAGCCTGAAAGGCTCCCACCTTGTTGTTCCAGAGCCACCTTGAGGCCGAGTGACTCTGTCTGCCTCTTCAGCTTTTGCTATCAGAGGATGAGTTTGAAAGTGATGCTTTTCAAAAGACCAAGCACATGACTGCCCCACTCAGGGTGTCTGTTACTCACACCAGGAGCTGGGCATAGTAAACCAAGATGAGGGCCTGTTGGAGAGCCTGGTGAAGGCGGGGGCTGGCTCATGTTACACCAGCTCCGACATGGAGCTGAAAATGTAGCTGCTGCCTGGTCCCCACAGTGAGCTGGGGTCAGAGGGCACTCGCACACGTGATATGTCACGCCCCATCTCATATGACAGTGAGCTCGTTGCCGAGCATGTGAGATGTCACTTTGGGGCCTGGAAGGGGTTTTGTCTCCCTTTGCTTTGCTGTTTTTGCGACTCAGGAGACTGCATTAATAGTCACTTGGCTGCATGGGAAGAGTGGGATTTGAGCCTGCTCCGGGTTAGGGTACTGTTCAGAGAATGCTATTTTTGTGAGGGAAACTAAACTATAAAAAAAAGGCAAAGCCTCTCAATTAATGCTCTTAGAGACTGTGTGATAATATCTTTTATACAATAATGACTATCTGCCTGAGGAAAGAACAGGTTTTAACTTTCTTTTTTTTTATTAATTTCTAAGACCCCTTTAGTGAGTATATCAGGGTCCTGGGGTGGCCACAGCAAAGTGCCATAACCTGGGGGGGCGCAGGGGGCCAGGGAGTAAAACAGCAGACGCTCCTCTCTGGATTTGGAGTCCAGAAGTCTGAAGTCAGGGTGTTTCGTGACGCTGTGCCCGCAGAGGCGAGGCCTGGGAGGAGCAGCCTTCCTGGCTGCATCTGGTCTCTCGGGGGTGGGCAACCTTTGGTGTTTCGTGGCCTGAGGCTGCGGATCCCATGGCCGCCTTCACATGGCCTTACCTCCTGAGTGTCTGCGCCCACACCTCGCTCTCGTTATAAGGACACCAGAAACGGATCCGGGTCTTTTGCAGCGTGACCTCATCTAACTTGTTTTCATATGTGAAGATCCTGTTTCCATAAAAGGTCACAGGCACCCTGGGTGAGGACTCAGACACACCTTTCTGGGGGACTAAGGTCAGCCCACAACCGTTGGATATATTTTTTTATATATATAATGGTTTATTTTTACATCGTTTTGTGCATTTTTCCATCTCAGTTGTAATCCCCCTGGGCTTCCCATCACCAAACCACCCTGTGCCTTCACCACAGTCCAGTTCACTTCCCTCCCCCCACTGTTTTTGATCCCATTCCCCACTCCACCCCCATAAAATGTCTCTGGTTTATAGCTGTTCATTATTATTATTATTTTCTCGCCTGGTCCATTATGCTTCTGCTATGAGCGAAACCATCCGGTATTTTTCCTTTTCTTTCTGGCTTATTTCACTAAGGATGATCTTCCTCAGCTCCATCCATGTTGCTGCAAAAGACATGTGTTTCCTTTTTCGGTTGCTGAATAGTATTCCATTGTGTACATGTTTCCATGTCTTTCCAATTGTGAATAAGGCAGCAATAAACATGGGGGTGCAGGTATCTTTTTGAATCAGTGTTTTTGTGTCTTTTGGGTAGATACTTAGGAGTGGGATTGCTGGGCCATATGGAAGCTCCATAGTTAGCAGTTTGAGGAGCCTCCAGTTTTCCATAGTGACAATCATTGAATGTATTTTAAAGTGTTGGTGCAGCCCAGGACACTTGATATCAAGATAACAGCCTTCTCCAGTCTGGTGGGAAAGGTAGCCCCGCCTTGCATATACGAGGGCTGCGTTTCTGTCTGAGTTCCTCTCAGCGAGCTGGCTAGACAGACTGACAGCCGCCGCCGCCCCGCGGCAGTGCTGTGGTGGGGTGGCAGCGTCTGGCGGGGGGCTGCCAGCTGTGCGGAGATGGGGGAGGAGGCGGGCTGTCCGCCTGCAGCGAGGTCGGCCAGAGGCCTCTCTGCGGGCTGCACCTGGCACGCCGGGCGGCCCGTGCCTTGCACTTGCCGCTGTGCATCTCCATCTGTCGTTTCGCCTAGGACTTCAGAGCTCAGAAGCTGAATGTGTTTACTGCTTGGATGGGGCTTCTAAAAAGTTGTTCTCCAAGCTGGTGGCTGGTTCCTGAGGTGCAGACGGCGGTGGGGGCAGTCTCTGGGGATGTGGTGTTGTGGGGCTGTGTGTGTAACACAGCTGGGCACTTGGGTTGCAGCAGAGATTTAAGATACATTTAAAAGCAGGGGGCAGGTGAGTGAGGTGCCAGTTAAAGTGGAGTGTGACGAGTAGATATAAAGTGGCCTTTACAGTAGGGGTATCTGGCAGGGTTTTGGAGGGGAGTCCTTACCGAAGATGCGAAGAATGTGTTCGTGTTAGCTAGTCAGGAAACACCCAATAAAAGACCTGGTCTGGAGGCGAGAAAATAACAAGAATAATGAACAACCACATACCAGAGACATTTTGCGGGGGTGGAGTGGGGAATGGGATCAAAAGCGGGGGGGTGGGAAGGGAAGTGCACGGGATTATGGTGATGGCACACGGGTGACTTGGTGATGGGAAACCTGCGGGGATTACAATTGAGATGGAAAAAAAAATGTACAAAATGATGTAAAAATAAACTGTTATGAAATTAAAAAAATAAAATAAAACACACACACAAAAGACCTGGTCTGGAGCATGGTGTCTTCTGAAAGATATCTTGGTGTTTGCTGGAAGACCCTCGTATCTGCTGCCACTGGGAGAGCTTAGGGAAGGGTCAGAATAATGCTGGAGACATAGGCGGGAAGGTCATGGTCTTGGAAACCGAGGCAGGGTGTTCTGTCTTATCCTGAGGTGATTCAGCTGAGAGAGCTTGAAGCAGGGATCACAGGGCCGGCTGCACTGGTGAGAGAAGTCCAGGGCCTGGCTGAGACACCCAGCGAGGATGAAGCCAGAAGGCGGGTAGTGGCCTTGGAGAGACACTGACTTGTTCAGGAGGAAAACAGGGACTGAGCTGATGCCATTGTCCAGCTGATTGGAAACAGGGAGATGGCAAAACAGAACGATGCGCACGTGTGGCTTGGAGCAGGGAGCGGTCGTACAAAGGAGGTTCAGGGGATTAACACGGACCATAGCGGGTGCCCGTGTGGGCTCCGGGGGCCCGTGTGCCCGAGCACGGGCTTCCTTTCAAGATCCCCGGGGAAGGAGGCGCTTGACAGACCAGGGCACCTGGACAGAAAGGCTGGAGCCGTGGCCCGGTGGCGGCGGCGCAGACGATGCTCCACCCCGCAGACCTCCCTGCACCATCCGCCCTGAATTTCAGCCTGGAAATGATCCTGTGGCAACAGGAGTGGAGACAGAAGACCCGGCCTGCGGTCACTCAGTGAAGCTGGCGCGTCGGAGGCCTGGCTTCCCCGTTCAGTAAAGTTGTGCCGCTGCCTGCCCCCTGCCCCCAAGGCCGTGAGCAGACTGCGCCCAAAGAGCCTTGGCGTTCCGCAGCTGTCAGGAAGTGCACCTGCTGCTGGTGCTTCCCGGGGTATTTCGGAAAAGAGGTGGCCGCGCTGCAAAGGCATCGTGGCAGTTTATTTTGCGGGGAGATAGATATAATTTGAAAAAGTTCCTTTGGCGATTTTTTAAAATCCTTGCTCATGACCTCTCTGCTTAGAAGCTAGATGTTGGTAAAGCAAAACTTCCACTTCTGACTGAGAAAATCTATTTAAGGATTTCTTGATAGAGGGAAAGTGAGGTTTGTTTGATAGGGGAATTTTAGGGACTCTTTCAACTATAAATGCTGGGTTCTGGCTTGGACAGCCATTGCCTTTGCCCTTGACCCACTGTTTGTTCACAGGCTGTTGGGGGTCCACCCAGGATGCAGTCCTCCAGTCCATCAGGGGAGGAAGACAGGGTTAAGCCCGTGAGCCAATTTATGGTGCCAGTCTGGTAAAAAAAAAAAAGGCCTTTAATTTTACTTGCCTTTTAAAATTTCGTTTTCCTGATATATTTATATTGAATTCCATTTGGCTGGCTCAGAAATAATCATTAAAATCCACTCCCATGACTTGCTTTAACATGCCCAGAACAGCCACACCACTAGCAGTGGGTGATTTGCAAAGGAAACCATGTAAGGAAGTCTTTCAGATCACTTGATAAAATCACAGGGGCGGTCAGCGGCCTTTGGCTCTGAGGAGTAATGAGCTTTAAGAGTTCCTCTGTTCCTAAGGGTTTCCTTCTGGAGTTTCTCTGAGGAGGATTTTTCTGAACACCCCCTTGTCAGTCTGAGAGCCCGGAGTGCTAGGAATGCATTAGCATTATTCAGTGTGAGGCTCCATGGTGGCGGTAATTTATTCTGGACATCTGAGCAGCCGTAATTGAGTAAGAAACTGATTACACATCATTTGGAGTAGTAATTTCAGCTAATCAGGTTTATCTGTAGGGGGAAATAATAGCTCAAGAAGAGCGAGCATTAGGAGAGACCCTGTGGAAAGTATCCAGGTAAATTTTAGTGCAAAGCATCAAAGTTTTGTTTTATTATTTTTTTAAGATTTATTTTATATATTTATGCAGACAAGAGCTGGGGTACAGGCCAGAGATGTGGGATGGGGGGGGGGTGAGAGGATTCACCAGAGACAGAGCGGGGAGCAGAACAGAGGTGGATCTGTGGAAATATACTGCTGTGGGGAGCAGTGGGTGAGGTGGGAGAGATCTGCTGTGCCTGCCTGTAGCTTCATAGTGCTGGACTTAACCCCTTGTGCACCAGGCAGGCCCAAAGAGTTTTGTTTTAATAGTTAACAATCACGACCTAGCGTGAGGCAGTCTCGAAAACGGGGGTGAGGGAGTGGCAAAATCACAGCAGCGCTGGCTCCTGCGTGAAGGAGCGGTGCCCCGTTCATGTTTAAAAAGTGGCTTTTACGAAAATTTTCCAGCAGCCACGCACAAATAAAATCAGCAGAAAGCCTGGCCCCTCAGTTTTTTCATTCAGACTAACCCTCAAGGACATCTTGGCTCCTCTGGCTCTTTAACAGCCTGGTTATTGATGCAAGAACAGATAAGGGCTCTTTCTAAAAATCTGCCTCCAGTTTTGATAGGTTTTCTACCCAAACTTCTATTTGTAAATTAATTCCTGAAGTAAAGCTTAGGCTTGCAAATTCACATGCCTGCCATTTGTTTTAATGTGTTCTTGGCTCTTTGTTTTTCTCCCTTTGTAAAAATCGTGCATGTTTGGTCGCGTTTTGAGGGCCCCGTGATAGCCTTTCCTAGCACAGCTATTTTCATTTTCACATACTGTCTTTGCGTCCTTGTCCACAGCCACACATTTTTTAAACAAAGGAATTTTATGCTTTTCAAAGAGCTGTCTGTACTCTTACAGTATCATTAGCATTGAATTTTGAGAGTGCTAATGATACTTAACACAATTCAGTGTAAATGTATTTCTGCATACTAGCATCAAAGGGATAACTACTTCAAGGATTTCCGTGCAGCTTTGCTACAAGGAGGGACCTCTTACAGAGTTATTTTTGGGATGTGAATTGTTCATTTTGTACATGTTTTAAGATACTGGCCGAGTTAATTGGGTCTGAAGTTTTTGAGGTGCTGATGATCTTTCAGAAGTAAAAATACTTTGCCTTAAAAATAAAACAAAGGGCTTTTTCAAGCAAGTCCTCCTGTACACAAAAGTTATTTTCCCCTTTTTCCCCAAAGTGTTAGATGCTGATTCCTGTTGCTTTCACTATAAAGAGCCTTGAATTGTATGTGTGTTCTTTGTGTTCAAAACCAGGAAACTAGTTGTTTCTTGGGAATTAAAGGGGCAGCTGACCGGAGTTTGTACAAATGTGCCCACAAGGATACAGGCGCTCGTGAGTCTTGCTTCCCTGGCTTCTCCCAGATAGGCTGTGGCCTCCAGGAAGACACTTACTGGCTTGGGAAGCCAGTGTTCTAGGGTAGGACAGGTGGATTCCACGGAGTTGTAGCCCAGCTCTGGTACGGGGGCGTTCTGGCAGGTCACAGGGCATACTGCAAGTGGCACGCTGACAATATATCGTGTGGATGGCCGGCAGCAGGAGCTTGGATATGTGAAGAAAACTGCAGTACACAGTATCAATAGGATACTGCCCCGGTTGAGTGCTCTTGCATGGCCAATGGGAGAATCTGAGTCCTCCCTATCCATATAGGCGAATGACAGAACCGAGTATGGGACCAGGAAAGCGGGCAGAAGTGCCCCCACACCAGCTTGTCATTCACAAGTTAAAAACTCGGGAGAAATGCATAGGAACGCCAGTCACTGGTGGGGGCAGGGGGAAGTGATGGGGTGCTCATGGGACTCTCAGTGTACCTGCTACTGTGTGGCTATCTTGTTTTAATTTACCTTCATTTAACTCGTTTTAAATTTAAGTTCTTCAATAGATACACCTAAATAGCTTTTTCCCACTTGCATCTTGATTTTAAAGTGGTGCCCCCTTTTCACCTGTGGAGAATGAGAGGGTTTCCTTGGTCGGGTTCCTTCTGCTTTACTCATTCCGACTGGGCGCCCGCGTCGTTCTCACCATGCAAGTTCTGGGCGCCCGCGTCGTTCTCACCATGCAAGTTCTCTGGACTGTGCCGGTTAGCTCGTTGGCTCAGGGTCTGACTCTCCTGCTTTCTCCTCCTGCAGGTATTCACCACGCTGTCGGTAACGAAGCGCTCGGGGGGAAACGTCCTCCAGGCTGGCTGCTGAGGTTAAGCCCCAGTGTGGACGCTGCCGCGTGACGCCGCACCGCAGACATACCCGCGCGGGATCCAGGCGAAGTTTCGGGGAAGGTTCCCGGACTCGGCCCCCGTGTGTCCTGGGCCTCCGCCACCGAGGCCCCTGGGATGTCGTGGGTAGGAGGTGGCGAGCGGAAGGCAGGCAGCGTCCCACTGGGGTCGCCATGACAGACTGGAAACCGACTCCGCAGCGCATCGAGGATGCGTCCATGAAGTCCCCGGCCTCAAGCCCGTGCGGGCGGGCGGCGACGGATGTCTGCCGGAGCGGTTCGGCGCCCTCTCCTTCATGGGCGCTCGCACTCTCGTTTAGCTTTTCGAGTTGATTACTTTCTTCTTTCTCTCTCCATGGTATTAATGATAACTAGAGATGAAAAAATGATAGCAGCTGATTTCTGTCCATAAGCAAGTTAGGACTGCACAGTGCAAGCAGGCGGCCGGCTGTGTGGAAGGCGCTAGGGGCTCGGGGCTCCGCCGCCGCCTCCCCAGCCGTGGCGCCCGGCAGGCCCCGTCCAGGGCAGATTCGCCACGTCTGACCAAATTTGCCCTGCGCACTGCATCACTGATTGTTACTTCGCTAGTGGTCTTCGGCCAGGGGCTGGGCCTGCCAGCTGGGTCGTTCCACTGCACTGCGCTCGGAAGGACAGGGGGGCCCCCGCCGCCGTCCCTCGCGGAGTGCGGGAGCGCACCCCGCGGGGAAGGCAGCCCGTGTCCCTCCCTTTGTGCCTGAGTGAGCCGAGAGCGCCTCGCACAGGCAGACCCTCGGACCCTTTCCTTGGTGGCTTTCACGTTCAGCTAAACCCCCATGACTCGTGTGTCGGGCAGCCCCCTCGCTGAGACCCGCCCCGGGGAGCTCGGCCTGGCGCCCCTGCGAGCCTGGCGCAGCCATTGCTTTTTCAGGAAGCTGTTAATCGCCTAAGTTATTGTTGAACACAGGTGGATGTGAAGGATTTTCATTTAGAAACCCAGTGGTTATGACTTCGTTGTTGAAAGAGCAGCCGCCCGGGTGGAGTTCGCGCGCCGCCCGCGTCCTGGCTTGAGTTAGTCGGAGAGGCGCTCGCTCGCAGCGACGGCTCTGCGCAGAGCCCGGGGAGGCCGAACTCGCAGAGTTTGCTCGCAGAGCTTGCTCGCAGAGCACGTGCAGCGGACGGAGCCCTCGACCCGCAGCCCGTAGATGCTTGCCATTCCCCTCACCCCGCGCGCCGCTGGCTGCAGCGCCTCTGGCCGGGTCACCTCAGGGAGCCCGGGCCGGCCTGGGCCTGCCCCACGGGGCGCGTCTCCCGCCCACCATCCCATTTGGGTCTGTGAAGAAAACGGGAAAAGCAAGAACGGGAGTGGGGTGTGAGGTGGTTGACTGTTTTCTGCTTTATTTATTGTTGTGATTCGTTTTTCCTCCAAGTCTGCCAGTCTCTGGCATTGGAGCATAGCCGTGTGAGACGATGGCGCCTGATCATGTTGTGATTCTCTCTTCTTAGTGGATCGTGGGCGGTTCTGTCCCACGGGAAGGATCATACTGTAGAGACCTGTCTCGTTCAGACTCTGTAATTGCCCAATCTGTTAAAACTCATACTAGACTCCATGTATTTTTGTTACAAATCTTCTGAGAAAAACAATGTGAACATTAAAAACACTGCTATCCTTCCTGCGTGCCTTTCTGAGGGGTTGGTGGCGTCCAGTCGGCGTTCTGGGCAGCTGGGATCAGCGGCGCTCAGGAGAACCAGGATGGGTGCTGGGCACCCGAGGCAAGCCCAGACCGGCGTCCCCTGGGGCCGATGAGTCCGTGGTGTTGGCTTCCCCTCTCCAGTTCACGGCTCACCCTGACCTGATCCGTCACTGAGTTCAGGGTGGCGAGGGCACCCCACCTCACCCGAGCCGACTCTGGTATCCCAGCACTTACCACACCCAAGGCTGGATCTGTTACCTCCCCACACAGGAGGGAGTCAGGTCGCCCCTCCAGCCCATGGTGGCCCTATGCATGGACCAGGCGTTCCTGAGCGTTTTCATCTGTGTTGATTGTCATGCTCAGATTATTTTCTCAATGTACCTAATTCCTTACATGTCACTCGTTAAGCAGAAATTCCTGTGCTTTGTTAATCCTTGACCAAAATATCTTTCCAGAGTACTTCTGTCCCACCCTGAGAGCGCAGCATGCTGACAGGTAAGGTTGTATGCGTGCGCCAGGCACTGTGACTGCCGTGCGGACGGATGTCACCTTTCCCAACAGCTCGTCAGAGATGCTTCCAGCCCACCTGGAGGCTCAAGGTTTCAGCTAGCTCAGGGTCTCTCTAGCACTCGGTGGTGATGCCGCTAGATCTTGAACCCAGAGTTCTGTGGCCTCGGAGGCCTGCCCCATAGCTACCTGGCCACACTGCCTCCCTTTCAGGCCCCCTGCTGTGGTTCCTGGAGCTCGTGGTTTTTCATGTGCTACAGAGCAGTGTCAACACCATGAACAAATGCCTTGTCCGAGGTCTTTTAGCACTTTTGCTAACTAATTTCACCTGCCAATTTATTTCCACACTGCAGTCAGGATATTGCTGCTCAAACTTGCCTTGCCCCAAGCCCTTGGGATTTTGAAAAGTTCTATAAATAGGCCCTTGCTGTCCTGTCCACAGCCTGACCTCTGCTTTCACTGGCCCCCCTCTGGCCATGCTGCCCTTTGCCCCGTGTCCACTCACCTCTGTGCTCTGGGCTGCCACGCCTTCCCAGGCCCACTTGGTTCTCTCAGATTTCTCCAGGCCACTTTAAGTGAACTCAGTCTGGAGACTGACATGTGAGTATACGCTTCTAGGTAATTAGGGCTTCTCACCTGTAAAACCACACCTTCAAGCATGAGGCCTGCAAGAGCATGAGAGGCATTAGGGAGATTTAAAAATTGGCTCAGCAGGTAGAGTCTTAATACTTGTGTCAGGACCTGGCAAAGATGGCTAATGGCCACTTAGGGAGCTTGCTGATCTCCACCTCTTATGTCAGGAATCCTTGATTCAAATGTTAATGGTGGTAGAAAATCATCACAACAGCAACCTCTCCAATGAAAGATATAAACTGCTGTAAGGTGTCATCTCATACCTGTGTGGAACATTTCTGAATGTGACTCTTGCTGTAGTCCTAACATAAGGAAACAACTTAAGTGCCTGAGTGGCATAATTGGATACGTGTGTGTGGGAATACTACTCAGCCACGAAAAAGCCAACACCTTGCCATTTGTGACAACATGGATGGACCTCATGGGGATCATGCCAAGTGAAGTAAGTCAGAAAAAGACAAGTATTTCACTGGTTTGTGGGATATACAGAGCAAAAGGAAAAACAAAACACCCTTAGACTGAAAACAGCATAGTGGTTACAGAGGGATGAAGAAGGAAGTTATGGAAAGGTGTGGCACACAAAGGTTGTTTAGTAAGAATTATGAATGCAGGTTTAAATGAGTACTTACTCTCTTGATAATATTTAGAGTTGTCCTTTTCATAAAGGGAAACAGCTTTTACAGATAAAGATTTATATTTTGAACATATATGTCTTTTATAAAAGGAAAACTTGTCCCCCTTTTAGAACTTTTTCCTGTGTCCCTGTTCTCAATGGCCTTTTCAAAATACTCTGCATACTAGAGAAGTGTATGTGTCGGGGGATTGTTTTGCTGTGAACCAAAATCTACTAAAAAAATCTCTTAATAAAGCAGCTACACAGTTGTACACCAAACACGAAACCCACACGTTCTGTTGGTGTGTCCTTGCTCCCATGTTTATTTCAAGGCTGCACCTATGGCTAGAGCTCACTGTCCTCACAAGTAACTCTCCATGTGAGACGCCCAGGGTGGTTCCCCAAGGCTCAGCTGGGTTCAAGGGACTGGCGATCCCTCTAGCAAATGAAGGAGCAAGAATGCAGTCATCACAAGGATGCGGCGTATCTCAGAGTGACAATTTATGACAAGCCCATGCTTTTTCTGAGCATGTTTTCCCCTGATCCTGTTGTTGATCTCAACACTGGTCTGTGCAGTAATATACATGTCCCACTTAAATTCAGTGCCACCCCTCAAACTGCAAGGCTTGTACATGATTTGAGTTACAGAGGGAATTTTGCATGTATTTCCCCAAATCTGGATTTAGTTATGGATAATGACAGCATGGGGCTCCCTTTCATCTTTGCTCCAATAGATTCATGAGGTGTTGTATCTGAAAAGGACAAGAGTGTTAATTTTATCTATAATGACATTCATTAGTACATAAATGAAATACATTCATATTTTATCCATAAATAGTAGGTGCCAGATACCAGTGCAGTGTTGCTGCACCATATTTTGAGTCCTGCTCAGATTCACTTCTTAGACACATGCGGACCCGCAGGACGCAGGCAGGTGAGCACATACCTGCACCTGTGCACAGATCTGCACCTGAGCTTATACTTACAGCCAGGTCCCTGACATAGCAAGAAGAGCAATGCCCAGGTGACACTTTCTGGAAGCAAATACATTCAGAAACGATCTAACCAAACCTCCACTATGTGGATGTAACACTAGAAACGGATCCCAAAGGCGCTGACATTCTACAAGAGAGGAGACCCAGGCCCCACCTCCAGAGTCCCCGCCATGACTGCAAGTTTCCATGTTTCGAAGGGGTCTGTGCCCTCTTCCCAGGCTCTTCTTCCTCCCCAGGGGCGAGGAAGGTCCTGCTCTTCAGCCGGAGCTAGAATCCCAACACAGGACCTTCCAGCACCTTTGACAGAGAGGGAAGAAGGGAAGACTGCGTCCTACAGAGAGCAGAGCTGGAGAGGGTCCCTGGGACGCCACAACTTTGCCCTGACACTGCACATCTGGGTGCATCTCTGGGTATTTACTTAGCTCTGTACTTAAAAAGTGCTGCTCCTTTTAGGTGTAAACTTGCTTGAAAATAAAACCACATATCAAAATCATAAATGGAAACTAGTTTCGCTTGCCATAGAGATTAATTTCTAAAATAAATACAAGAGCACATATTTACATATGCTTGCAGACATACGCATCAAACTCTTCTGGAAGAATACAGCAGCACGTAGTGACTGCCTTTGGAGTGGGCCAGTGGCTGGGGGCTGGAGTGGGGACGGCAGTAGTGAGTGTTCCTGTCTCCATTTACACTGTCTCTCTGGAGAATCAAAACAAATAGGTGGAGGGGAAGGGATGAGACCCAAACATTGGCATTACATCCTGGCTGGATGCTGTTTCCTTCTGAAGATGCAGAGGTCTTTCTCTGATAAAGGGGATTACTGGTGGGGGAGGTGGTAAGCAGCCTCGAGCATCCAACTGAGGCCCCCTCTTTGATGTAGTGCACATCTTTGATAGGATAAAAGACCCAAACGCAGCAAGAGGCTGTCTTTCCTATGCTGTTCATGCTCTTTCCTTCCACGCCGCCTTGTCACCGTGCCCAGGCCTCTGCGGCTGTCCTGACTCAGGACCGGTCTGGCTCCAGACAGAGCAGACACCAGCGAGTCAGAATTGAAGGCAGCCTTCGAGGCCTCCAGCTGAATATTCCTGCTTCTTCACGATCTTCATCATCTCCTATGGAGATGATGCCTGGTCTTCCTTCATCAATTCCCAAAGAGGTCTGTGACTTCTAAAAGTCGAGCTCAAAAACTCCCACTTTGCAGAGGCAGAAACAAGTCCAGAGAGCAGAGGCTGCTCCAAGGCCTTGACTGTTGCCTCAGCCACTCAGAGATGTCCATTCTGGGGTCTGTTTCTTTACAGTTTTCTCGTTCTTTCCCTCCTGGTCACAAGATGGCTGCTTTAGGCATCACGTTGTTAATCAATAAAGAGGGGATAAAAAGGGTAAAATTACCTTCCTCTCTTTTATACAACTGTCCCAGCATTCAACATACTTTTACTTACATGTCCAGATCTGTGTCCCGTGACAGCCCCAGCTGCAAGGGAAGCTGGGAAAAGGAGTTTTAAGGCTTTCCAGGTCTGTAGAGTGGTTTAACCAGTGAACAGTGTCTCCACTTCAGGATGTGGAGCAGAGACAAGACTAGGTAGGTTGGGGAGATGAAGGGGGGGGACCTCACCTTTGTTTCCTGGCTGTCCTTCCATCACTCCCTACCCCAGACTGCAGACCTCAAAGGTGATCATCTATAAGAACGAATGCAATATGCCACACCAACTAAAATCATCACGAGATTGTCAGAACTTCCTTCCGAAAGGAAAAGCCAAACCCACAGAAAACAGCCTGACCCCCCACCTCCCCGTTTATTTGTTAGAAGGTTTGGATTTGAATTAAATCTTCACTAAGCAGTCTAAGCTTTTGCTGTAAAACCTCACCGCTTGTAATCCCTCCTTGCTCTGTTCATTCTTCGTTCTCCAAGTAACAGCGACTAGTCCTCTTTGCAAATAACGTCAGAGAAAACCTCTGGGTGCACTTCAAGGCCTCCACAGCTGCACGAATGCCGGCCGGGCTGGGCATATGTAGATACAGCAACAGGGGAAAACACTCTGTCAATATTTGCAGGGAAGAGAAGTTGCCACGCAGGAGAAAGGCCACGTTATGGAAATGGAGTGTTTTATGCAGAGAGACATTTTAGAAGCAGGGAGGGTCAATAAAGAGGCTAAAATGGGTTAACTGGTTGTACATAAGCGTAAGGCGCGGATGAAGTTAATTGCTTAAGAAATAAAATAAGACTCTG